GGCCCGCGCTCTCTCTGGCGCACCCGCCGCGCCCTCCTGGCGTCCGCAGGGCGCGTGCGCTCCCCGGCCCGCCCGGAGCCGGCTCCCCGCGGGCCGGGCTGTGCGCCGTCGTGGCCGCCCCGGGACTGCCCAGAGCTCCGTCCGCGGTCTGCCTGCGCTCACGGCCGAGGCCTTGCCTCAGGTCGGGCACTGTCCTCCCACAGGCGGACCCGGGAGGGAGAAGCTGAGAAGGAGCCGAGCACGATGCGAAAAGACGCAGGCAAAGTCAGAACGTCGTCCCTAGACTTTTGTTTTACTATTCTTGAATATTCCTCCTGCAGAGTGACATGCCCGATTGACACGTCGTTCATCTCTAATCGCGCTCATTTCTAATTGTGCTCGTTTCTAATTCTTCCTGGCACCCTGGTGGCCAGGAAGAGGCCCAGGACAGCACAATCAGAAATGAAAGGATCCTGGCCCCCCAAAAACTCCAAGAACTCCCGAAGAAGTAGACACGAACAACGTGTGCGCCTTGCCAGCCCCCGTCCCCTCTCCGCCCACCTCTCCTCGGGGTCCATCCAGACCCGGGCCAGTCAGGCCTGGCAGAATCCTGCAATAGATCCTGCATAGGCCCTGCACCCACACCCGGGTTAATGCGACCCTGGCCCTGCAGGATCCTGCAAGATCCGGCGCTATGGCTAGGAGGGAGGAGGAGGGAGGAGGAGGAGGAGGAGGAGGAGGGAGAGGAGGAGGAGGAAGGAGGAGGAGGAGGAGGGAGGGAGGGAGGGAGGAGGAGGGAGGGAGGGAGGAGGGAGGGAGGGAGGGAGGAGGAGGAGGGAGGAGGAGGAGGAGGAGGAGGAGGAGGAGGAGGAGGAGGAGGAGGAGGATGAGAGGAGGAGGAGGAGGAGGACCCCCGTTTGCACCGACCCCCGTCTCGAGGCTCTCCCGATCTCCCTGGCGGCGCCGCTCGGCCTCGCCGGAGAGGCGCTCCCGCCGAGGTCGGCGCGCGGGGGGGGGGCTCCCCGTCCGCGCCGCCCCCGGGGGGGGCAGGGCGCTCTCATTTTTTTGGGGAGGGGCTGCCTCGACCTTACCAGCCTCGAGCGTATCCTTGAACGAAGGATTGCAAAAAAAACCTGGGTTGTTTTGCAATCCTGGGTTGTTTTGCAATCCTGTTTTTTTTGCAATCCTTGGGATTTTTTGCAATCCTTCCTTCAAGGGTTGTTTTTTGCAATCCTTCGGGTTTTTTTGCAATCATCCCTAAGATTGACACGCCAAAAGGCGATGACAATCTCAGGGATGCGCCCTCAAAAAACAAGGGACTCCCTGAGATTGGCATCGTGATG